CGAGGCCTCGCAGCCCCGCCCTGCAAGGGGCGGTGGCGCGGGGACGCGCGTGGCCCGGAGCCGCGGGCGGGCGCGGCCGCAGGCACGCGCGCCGGTGCGCCTCCTGCCCCGCCCGGGGTTGGGGTTGGGGTTGGGATTGGGTGAGGGTCGCTCTCCAGAGCGCCGTCGGAGGAGGAAGAGGGCCGAGAGGCGGGGCGGGGGGACGCGGCCCCCCTGCGGACGCGCTCATGGCCAGCTCGGCCTCCCTGCTCTACAGCTCGGCGGCTTCGTTCCCCAGCTCGCCGGGCCCCCTCGCGCCGCCGTCCCGGGCGCCGGCGGACGGGCGGCCCCGCTCGCCGGCCGCATGGCGGGCGAGAAGGTGGGCCCCACCCGCCGCCACGGGCCCGGCGCCCTCCACGGTGGCTGGGCCGTGGCTTCAGATGGAGAGCGCAGGGGTGCCCCGTCCAGCGCGTCTGGGGGTGACCGGGTGGGGAACGCCGGGAGCGGTGTGCCGTTCGCTGGGCGATCTCTGAGCAGTGGGGTGTTCGGCGGGGCGCCCGCCGGCACCATCCGCACCCCGGGATCCTTGCCTTGCGTCCCCCGTGTGCTGTCACCACCTTTCAGGCCCGAGTAGCTCCAATATGATACTTGTGCGTTTAGTCATGGTTAAGATTTGTATCCTGCCTTTTCATATTAAATAGCACACTTGGAAATATTCCAAAGACAACAAGCCATAAATGAAACATAAAAGATATGGCACAAAAAAAAACGAAGATAAAAGGCCTGGGTCCTGGGAAAGTCAATATCGCTTTGCCCCGTATTAGAAAGACGCTCTTGAGGACAACAAAGTCCTCTTGTTTGTTGTCTGACCGTGAGAGAGACAGGCATCACCAGCATGTCATTTTTATATAAAATATTATTATAGGTGCATGTAAACTATACAGAGTTAGCCATGGTGTGGTTATCTGAAAAAGCCAAAGCCCATGTGGGAGCTCATTAGGAAATGAATTGAAATAGAATTGCCAATATTATCATGCCACTGTAGGTGCAACCAGAATATTCTGTCTCGAGCTGCTTAACTGGTATGCCCTGGTTCCCTTTTTAAAATGTGCATTTATTGGTCACTTTCCAGTCTCTTGCTACAGAGGCCCATCTTAGAGACTGGCTACATATTTTTTTTCTTAGAAGCGCAATGATTTTTCATTTGAGTTTATTAAGAACTCTCAGATGGGAACCCTCTGGAGTTGATGCCTTATTTATTTAAAGTTTTTCTATGCCGTCCCCTTGCTACATAGCCTTGAGACGGCTCACAAAAGGGACAAATAAAACAATTACAATTACAATTAAAACCTGGAAACACACTGGCTGCATAATTAAAATGTATAAATATTAAACATGATTAAAATACTGTTTGAATAAAAAGGTCTTGGCCTGGCGCTGAAAAACAAATAAAGACGGCGCTGGGTGGACCTCTGGGGTTACATATTAATATGTCAACAAGGTGTTGAGCTTTAATTCCTGCCTGCACTATTGCCTTCAGTTCCACAGACTTTCTTCCTGAAAAGCAGTATAGGCACAGGTCCTACATCTGCAAGGAAAACAGATATTTAAAAAAAAATGTATATATCTGTTCAATTTTCTCTTCCTTTAGAATGTCCTTTAACTTCCTGGTCATTCAGAGGTCCAACTGCCTCTATAGAGAGTTTTCTCCTTCTGAAATATTATTGTGTTGCTATTGATCTTAATGGTGCTAGTGATATATGTGTCAAAATCCTATTTTGCTCCTTTATTCTCCACTCAAATTTATTTTGTGCAAATTAGTCTTTTTGTTAGGGACACATTTCCACCTTTTGAAGGAAGACATATTTACTACTTCTGATCCGGGAGATAGCCTAGAGTCATCAGGATTAGTAGCCATGGGTAGCTAGTTAATTATTTGAATTAAATGACATTAAATTGAACTGACATTGAAATAGCAAACATCAGTGTAGTGGTGAAGAGCATGGGACTGGGACTCAGAGGATCAGGGTTCAAGTCCCCGCTCAGCCATGGAGCCAATTGGGTGACTTTGGGCCAGTCACAGACTCTCAGCCCAGCCTGCCTCACAGGGTTCTTGTTGTGGGGATAAGATGGAGAGACCAGCAGGAGAATGATGTAAGTTGCTTTGAGTTCTTTTTAAAAAAGGAAAAGGCAGGATATAGCTCTATTAAACAATTTCCCCCCATTTGGAAAGATCCTTTTGGAATTCCTCCCAATCCCTTCTTGTTCAACCACCAGACATGATTTGGTATCTTCAGCTAACTTGACCAGTTTACTGCTCCCCCTAACCCGTCCAAAAATCCTGCAACAGAGATCCCGAGGGACCTGGCTGTTAGGATTCCTCTGCTAAGAGAACAACTGTCAACCAATTTCCGCTCTCTGCTACCTGGTCCTTCAACAGGGACGGGCACCTGTAACAGGACCTCTTCTCTCTTGCAGCGAGGGATGGGTTTGCTCAAGACACGCTGTTCGCAGGGGACTGTTAAGAACCACTTGGAAACCGAGGGCGTTTCTTTAAGACTCAGGTAATTAGTGCTTGGTTTCAAAATATTTGTGCTTTCCTAAGATTACTCTGAGATCTTAAAGTAGAATAATTACAGATTGCAAAGTTTCTAAGTGATGCCCAAGGCATCCAGGAGAGCAGGTTGTTGTTGTTAGTCGAGAAGTTGCGTCCGACCCCATCGTGACCCCATGGACAACACTCCTCCAGGCCTTCCTGCCCTCCACCATCCCCGGAGTCCACCTAAGCTCATGCTGACTGCTTCAGGGACTCCATCCAGCCACCTCATCCTCTGCCGTCCATTCAAAGGCCTCAGTCCTTTGGCGCTCAGCCTTCCTTATGGTCCAGCTTTCACAGCCATACATTGCAACTGGGAAAACCGTAGCCTTGACTATACACACTTTTGTTGGCAGGGTGATGTCTCTGTTTTTTAGTATGCTGTCTAGATTTGCCATAGCTTTCCTCCCCAGGAGCAGGCGTCTTTTAATTTCTTGGCTGCAGTCCCCGTCTGCGGTAATCTTGGAGCCCAGGAAAATAAAATCTGTCACTACCTCAATTTCTTCCCCATCTATTTGCTAGGAAGTGAGAGGACCGGATGCCATGAGCTTAGTTTTCTTAATGTTGAGTTTCAAGCCAACATTTGCACTCTCCTACTTCACCTGCATCAAGAGGCTCTTTCGTTCCTCTTCACTTTCTGCCAATAGAGTGGTATCATCTGCATATCTGAGGTTGTTGATATTTCTCCCAGCAATCTGAATTCCAACTGGTGATTCATCTAGGCCCGCCTTTCTCATGATGTGCTCTGCATATAAGTTAAATAGGCAGGGCGACAGTATACGGCCTTGCCGAACTCTTTTCTCAATTTTGAACCAAGCAGTGGTTCCGTGCCCAGTTCTCACTGTTGCTTCTTGACCCAGATAGAGGTTTCTCAAGAGACAAATAAGATGGTCTGGTGCTCCCATCTCTTTAAGAACTTGCCACAATCTGCTCACAATTGGTCTGCTTTTTCCTACAAGCTGTTACTGACAGAAAGACAAATGAATAGGCCTGTGATTCAGTCAAGCCGGGGCTTTCCCTGGAAGCAAAAATGGCAAAGCTGAGGCTGTCCTGCTTCAGACACATCCTGAGAAGGCCTGGACAAGACTATAATGCTGGGGAGGCAGAAGAAAAGGAAGACAAAGATGAGATGGATGAACTGCGTCAAGGAGGCCATGGCTTTGGACTCGGGGAGCTGAGCAAGGCTTTGTGGACACCACAGTGTGGAGACCTTTCATCCAGAGGGTCGCCCTAAGTTGGAAATGGCTTAAGAGCACAGAACCAATCAGCATTTCTTCCCCCTTAACAGAAAGAACCGTCTCTGGAGTGGCCTTGATCTTCCTCGGTCACAAGAGGTCAGCCTTGCTCCACAGGTGGAACTGATTCAAGCAGACTCCATATTCACAAGACTTTTCCAAGTTTGGCATGTTTTCCTTTGTGAATGCTGAGCTATCTGGAAAATTTGATGAAAATGGAAGCAGAAAGAAGTTGCCAATGAAGCTGTTTGTGGCCTCATTCTTAAATGACGGGTGGGGGCCTCCCTAATGGGGTGGGCGCAGGTTTTTGCTCCTCAGTTGCCCAATCCTACATGGAATGAGGCTCACTAAACCCACTGATTTCCACACCTGGGACTGTACATTTCTCCTGGCCCAGTTTTATCTGGAGCTAAAAGGAACTTGTGCCAAACAATCCCCGAAGTTTCAAATTTTGATATCCAATCTTTTCTGGGCACTCCAGTATTTGCCATCGCTGTTTGATGTCCTGTGATACTTCATTATACTATCTGATAGTGTTCATTCAGTGTGGATATGCAATGGTACAAGTACTCAAACACTTATAGTGATTATGCTTTTACATTTATACCCCACTTTTATTTATTTATTTAAAACATTTTTATGCCGCCCCCATCGCAACAAAGCCTCAGGGCAGCTCACAACAAGAACAAAATATACACATACAACAATTACACAATAAAAATATTAAAACCTGGTGCATCTCAGCTTAAAAGATTTAAAATCCTATAAATACCAATAAATTAACAATTAAAATAAGTTTAAAATAAAATAAAATAAAAAAGGTCTTAGTCTGGCGCGGAAAAACAAGTAACGATGGCGCCAGGTGGACCTTTCTCTTCTTGCAAAGATCCCAAGAGGGTTTACAAGGTCCTCTTCCTTGTAATAGTACCTGTTGCTTTGTAATATCCCGAAGGACCCACCTGCAGCGGCTGCTCTGTTGGGACACTGTAACTGGCAGTCCTTGGGTGTCATGCAGCAGAGCAAGAAAGGGTGGAGGATCTACTCTGATTTGTCCACTAAGGCATTTTTCTCCCTCTCCTGTAACATTTGAACCCAGATCATCCCATGAAGCTGCTTGGAGGGAGGTTTAGGGCAGGCAAGACCATATGGGGATACTGCGGAATTTGATGCTAGGGGAAATGCTGATGGTTGCCAGTCTGAACGGGTTAAAAAGGAATTGGACAGATTGATGAGGGAGGAGGTTGCCCATGGCTACTACCCTTGTTAGCCATTTGCTTTCTCCTTCACCGGAGGCAGCCAGCCTGCAGGCACCAGCTGCTGAGGAGCTGGGCAGGAGGAGGTCGTGCACCCATCCTCTGGCGGGATCCTGTGGGCAGCTGGTTTGCCACCCTGCATAGAGTGCTGGAGTGGACTGGAAACTTTTTTTTCTCCTGATTTTAACTACTGTTCTGGTGTTTTCAATTGCATTTGTATCCTGGTATATTTTAACTTCCCTATTTTAACTGTTATCTGTCCTGCAACCTAAGGCTGCAGGTGGCAAAGGAAACTTGGCTTATTGCATTAAAAGAAAGTCTTCCAGGGCTGCTTATGGGCTACTTGGAAGCATCCGGGTGGCCATTTTTAAAATTAATTTATACATTTCATATTCAGCCCTTCAAATAACTTTCCTCGGCTGAACAAGATACTGGACGGGCTGAGCTCTCGGTCTCATCCAGTGCCATGCGCCTTTGGACGGGGGGGGGGAAGGCCTACAACTCCCGACATGCCCCAAAAAGCATACTTGGCTGGGGCATGCTGGGAGTTGTAGGCCTTTTTTTCCTGTCCACACATACGTCTGGTTGCGGCTCAATCTTATCATTCTCCCCACACCCCCCGAACTGGGAAAATAGACTAGTAATCTTTATATGATCATTTCATCTAATAGCGTAGCATGATCCGGCCCTATTATAGTACCACTGGAACCCGTCCGTCACAAAAATCTAGTGAAGCTGTCCTAACAGATGAATAAGTGACCATCAATTAGCACTTATTAATTAACCGCGGTCCGGCTTGCTAAGCCAGACCGACGTGTACTCAGAAGTCGCTCCCGCTCCCGGCCCCAAGTGCCCCCTGGGACTTAGAGTCCTCGGGTTTGCCGCGGCGGCTGGCACCTCCGCGGGAGAAGGGAACTACTCTTCCCAGGATGCCGCGCGGCTGGAGAGTCTGTGCAATCCGGAGGGGAGGGGGAGGGGGGGAAGGGGACGGCGAAGGTCGAAAGTTAGGCGGGCCCCCCGCCCCGGCGCTTTCCCCGCGTCCGGGTGCGTGGCTCGCGTCTCGGGGCGCGCGCGGCGGGTGGGAAAGGGTTAAGGGGCGGGGCCACAGAGGCCCCGCCCTTGCCCCGCTGGGCCGGAGCGGGACTTCCTGTGCCAGCCCATTTCCTGGTCGGACGCGGCTGCGAGCGGAGCGGCGGCGGAGCAGCAGCGGGCAGGGCTGGCGGCCGCGGCATGCTGTCCCCCCGGCCGGCCCCGGCCCCCGCCCCCGCCTCGACCCCGGCCCCCCTGGAAGCTCGTCGGCGCCCGGCCGGCGCCGCCGCCTCCACCGCCGCCTTGTAGCGATGCCGCTGGGCCGGCGCGGCGCCCGCAGCAGAAGCGGCGGGGGCAGCAGAGCAGCCAGGCCAGGTAGGCCGGCAGGCGGGCCGGGCCGGGCCGGGCCGTGGGCTCCGCCCTGCCCTGCCCTGCCCTGCCCTGCCCTGCCCCGCACGTGCCTGGGGCCCTGCCGTAGGCCCGGGCCCGCAGCCCCTCGGCGCCTGGGGCAAGCGGGCTGTGGCTCCTCTCGGCGGCCGCCGCAGGAGCGGCGCGGCGAGGCGCCCTCGCTGACGCTCTCTCTGCCTTTTCCTCCGCAGGCCCGAGTCGTCCCCAGCCCGGAGAAGGGAGCGCGAGGGGAAGCGCTTGACCTCTGCGGGGAGCGCCTCTGCGCGGCGTTAACCTGCCCTCGCCCCGGGCGAAGCGCTGCCTTTCCCCCGGGCGGGCTCTATGCGCGCGTGCGTCGGGCGGAGCGACCCGCTTGATTAGCCGAACCGGAGCGCGGGGCGCCCGCCTGCGGAGCGATGAAGAAGTTCTTCGACTCTCGGCGAGAGCTGGGCGGTTCTGGTGCCGGTTCGGGAACGCTCGGAGGCGGCGGCGGCAGCACCGGGCCCGGGAGCGGATACATCGGCCGGGTTTTCAACATTGGGCGGCACCAGGTGACTGTCGATGAAGTCCTGGCGGAAGGTAAGGGGACGCCCCAGTCCTCCTCTCCTGGTCTTGCCGTGACCCTCCTCCTCTGTTCTGGCTTCCCCTAAGCCCGCCCTGTTGCCTCCGGGGGAGCTAAGTTGCTTAGCTAGGACCCCCTGCTTATTAAATGCATTAGTGTGTGATATTAAAACCTAACGTGAATAGACGGCCCAGGAGGCTACCGTTGCATAGTTTAAACATGGCTTAGATCGTCTCCTTTTTAAGAACAGTGAGGCAAGGAACATGGGAGAGGAGACCTATGTACAACCAACTGCCAGCTGCTGAGGTTCAGTGGTTTGGCAATATGTAAGTTGGAAAACTCCCTGTGAGAGAGCATGTGAGATTGCACTAATACAGATATTAATGGTCATCATTCCCTGCCTGTTTCTTGCTCTGGGCTTGAGCACTCTAAGTGAGGGAGTGATTGGAATACAGAAGAGTAAATTTCTCACACATTAATGGTGCCTCTTGTGTGGTGGATGAGAGACACACTTGTACAATGTGCATTGGCATCTCAAGTTGTGGGCCTCTGAGACTGAGCTTGCAGTTCAGTGGTTGCAAAAGGATCTCTTAAGTTTGCAGTGCTGAGAACCTTTGTCTTTCTATTTCAAGCTAAAAATAGAAATAGGCCTAGCTTTTGGGCACACCCTATCATTCTCCCCTCCCTCCCCTCCCTGCTTAAAAAGAAGCTATGCATGGAACCTGAGCCCTTGACCTTCAAGATTACATAGGCTTTTGGGGCCGTTGGTGGGCCAGGAGCAGGAATGGAGAGCTCAGGGTTTACAAAGCATTTCTTAAGGCCCAGGTGTCCAGAGAGAGGGAGCTGGTGGCCAGAGCTGGGTGGAATGATTTGTGTGTGTCAGGTGGAGGGGCAGCTCCCCGCCCAAAGGCAGTTTGGTTGGCCAGGCCCACCAAAAGTGGCGTGCGTAGGCGTTTGCCGAGATGGGTACATCTCAGAGAGGCTGTGAGAAAAGATGCTCCCGGATGTTGAAGTCCGGTCCGCTTCTGACCCAAGCTGGCCGAAGCGTTGCTGGTCGTGGTAAATTGCCGCAGGCATGGCATGGAGTGCAGAGAAAGTGGGCACCGTGCCAGCCCACGTCATCTGTCTCGGAAAATAAAACTAATAAAACTAGCGAGACACCAGTCCAGCTCACTAGGGCCGAGTCTCTGCCCTGCTGATTCTGTTGAGGCCTCTTCTATGCAGTGATCTTCGGACTCAGCTACAGATACACTCCTGCCATCCTCCCGCTTCCTACGCAAGTGTACCGCAGGAAGCGTAAGCCCTCCTTTGAAGATGATTAAATAACTTTCTGGCAGATCCTCTGCTGGCAGTTGACACAGGCAGGGAAGGCTGCCTGTACTGGCGGATTCCTCCTTGAGGAATCTTTGCCTTGCTTCTCTTCCCTTCCACGGCACAGTCTGTGCCTGGTTTCCGGAGCCTTCCCTGTCTCCACAGTAAGAACAGCAAGCAAAGGCAGCCAATTCTGTGGTTATATCTCCAGGCTGGTGCCTGTTGGGTTGTGGAGAATGAGAGCTGGTGCATGAGTATTCTAGGAAAGGAAATTATGCTTGGTGTGTTCGGGGCTGTTTGGGGACTGCTGAAGTGGGTGGGTGGGTGGGTGGGCAGGCATGAAGTCTGGAAACTCAGGCCACCCCAGGGGTTTCTGGGATTTGTCTTGGCTATAGTCTCTGGGATGGCAGGGTGAAGCAGCCCCGTTTAGCATAATAAAGGATGCTTGTTTTGATACCTGGGGGTAGAGAGGAGGGCTGTGCCAGCCTGAGCTTTGTTGGAGGAGAGGTGGCATTAAAATAGAACGAGTCAGTTCACAGTCACTGTGAACACTCACTGTGGCCTTGAGGGAGTGATGCAGCCTCGGTTTGGGTATCCTCTGCATGGATCAGCACATGCGATAAAATAAAGCATGTGTCAAGTGTCTGACTCTTTAAAAATGGGCAAACAAGGAAACTTTTCACTTGCATAGTATTGCAGTTCATGTGTTCAAAGAGTCTTGCGTACGTTGTCGTTGTTAATTTTATTTCTATCCCACCCGATGGCTGATGCTCTCTTAAGGCAGGCCAGTTCTCCTTTTAAATCATGCATGCTCTTTCCTCTTGCAGACGGGGTTGAGTACAGGAGGCAGGTTTCCTAAGTCCACTACCTGAGAATGAGGCTGGGGTGAGATCTAAACGGGGGACTTCCCAACTCGCACTCCACGCCACTGCCTTGCCTACCGTCATCCGAGTAAAGGCTTAACTGTTCTTCTTCCAAGCCCATAGGGAAGCTGCTCTGCAAGATAATGAAGTCTTAGGGCAGGGTCCTTTTTCAACAGGGAGCCAGTTGAAAGGGGCCGGTGGTGGGCGCGGGCTGGTGAGGGAGCGGGGAGGGCGCGGCGGGTCCAAAGCCTCTGAGGCGGGCCGGATCCGGCCCATGGGCCATAGTTTGAGGACCCATGTCTTAGGGTGTCCTAAAGATGAGCACACTTACATGGCATAAGCCTTCCTGGGTGAGAGCCGCTCTCCTGACGCTGCCAGTCTTGAGGATGTTGCACAACTGTCGCCACCCCTGCTGAGACCCCGTGTAGAGGATTGTTCTAGAGGAGGAATGGACAGAAGGGAGCCCTGGGTCTGCTAGCTGCATTCCAGGGCAAATTGTGCTGCTGAAATTGAGGAAGCTTGGAGTAACCAGGAAGAGGCATCCCCAGAGGAAGGTGGACGGTTGTGGCATTCAGAACAAGTTCCTGGACTCTTACATCCTTAATCTATAGGGTACGTTTTGCACATTTGAATCTTGGAGTCCCAGGGAAAAGGCCTGAAGTCTGAAGGCGCCTCCGAGAGATGAAGGGCAAGACGTCTTTGGCTGACTGTGCCGACATAATCGGGAGGGCTCTTTCAGCCGAGCGCCAGGCTGCGCCCAGTGCTGAGTGCCTGGCAGTCAGATTTTTGCGTGCTTTTAAAAGCCGGTCCTGTGGGAAGCGCTGGAAAGAACTGTGTATGCATTCCATTTTTGTAATATTGCTGTACTGCTAAGCATTCAAATGGCCCTAAGCAGTTTACCTACTAATATTAAAATCACATTTAAAATGCAGTTTAGAACCATCTAATTAAAGTAATCACGCATGGCTGTACGTGATCAGCACAGTGGGGCGGCATGGTTGATGTGATCCCAGGCCAGGGGCAGGGCAGTGGCACGCGTGTTTGCAGGGGGCGCTTGCCTCCCGAGCTGCAGGGGGCGCTTCCTCCGGGGGGCGGCGCTCACGCAGGGGGCTGCCCTAAATGTCAGCTGCTCATAGGGAAGGTCTGCTGGGCATCCTGTCCCAAAGGTGTTTCGCCTGGAGAAGAGGGGGCTGCACCGGGACCAGGCTGCAGATAGCAGTGGTACCTCGGCTCACAAACACCTCAGTTCACAACCAAATTGGGTAGCGAGCAGAAATTTCAGAAAAAATTTGCCTCGGGTCACGAACTCTGCATCAGGTGGCAATCGCGGTAGGACTCGGGCACGGGGAGATGGCTGCGATCTTTGTTGTTCTTTGTTACTTTGTTTATTATTTATTTTATTTATTTAGAAAATTTCTAGGCTGCCCCATTCGCCGAAGCCTCGGGGCGGCTTACAAATAAATTAAAATACATAAATAACAATATAAAATACACATAACTGTATAAAATAAGTTGCCCTGGCCAAAAAACTTTAAAATAAAAATAACATTAACGATTAAAATGACGCTTGAATAAAAAGGTCTTCGCCTGTTTCAAATTTTTGTGATTAAAAAATGGTTACAGAACTGATTATCCTTATTTACTTTGAACTTTATGGGGAAATTTGATTTGGCTCACACCCAGTTTGGGTCGTGACCGGAGTCATGGGACGGATTGAGTTTGTGAGGCGAGGTCCCACTGCACCTGTTCTCCGTCTGGGAGGCAAGACTGGAATCCCTGGCTGGAGGAGGAGGAGGAGAAAGGCCCAGTCTAGCCTTCTCCCTGCCATGCAGCCCTCTCTCTGTCGGATCTTACTCCTCCCAGGGGCACTGCATCACCGGGTGGGTTCCTGTTGGCCACCTGGGAGTGGGGTGCGGGGTTACTGTGGCTGCTGCTCATGTGCACTGGGCGTGAGAGGACCCCCTGGAGCTTCTGCTGCCGGCAGAGCGGGAGACTGAACCGGGGTGCCGACGCACGCTCACCGGTCGGGCCTGTGGGCACGCCATTCACGCAGTCCGGCCCCTCGGTGTGGCTGTCACGGCGTTCCAGAGGCGTGCTGGGGGCCAGGAGGGTTGCCAGTGCATGCCAGGCACGCCGCGCGCAGCCATGTTCTCTGCACCAAGGGACGTGGCTCTTCGAGGGCTGAGTGGCTCTGAAATCACCCTGTGCCTGTAGTTTGTTGTGATCATGTGAACAGGCCTAATGGCTTTGCATGGTCGTGGAGTTAAGCTGTAGCGGCTTAATTCTGCGCCCACGCATGCTGGGGGATTGAGTGACTCCTGGAGTGGCTTGTTGCTCAGGGCAGCAAGCCACCTCCTGGGGCTGGTGTGGCGTGGCAGTCCACGCTGGCTAGGTAATAATGCCGGTCTGCTCAGCGCATGACTGGCCCTTGGGCTTATTTTTCCCCCGGGGATCCGGCGAATAGGCCCCGTACAAGCCTGCCTTTTCTGGTGGCTTGCATGCATGAAGGAGCCCTTGCACGTGACACGCTGCCGGGAGAGCTGCCCCGGTCACGGAGCAGCGAGGCAACGAGCAAGGCGCAGTTATGTGTGAACTGCCCAGGTTCCTCGCCGGCATTTACTCTTGAGTGTAGGCAGGCTTAAGCCATGCTTCCCTCCCTGGTCAGACTTGCTGGGTCCGAGGCGGGGAGCCTGCTTCCCCAGCAGAAGCTCCCCGGCTCGGTTCACTGTGTCACCAGCTTAAGGATCTCATGTTGTGGGCTGGAAAAGAACTTGGAGGACTCCTGGCCGTCAAATCCATCCCAGTTGCGATAGGCCGAGTTATTTCACATAGGGCAGCTTTGT